GTCCTTCAGCATTCAGCAGAGCAGTCTGATTTTGAGCAAGGCACCTGCATTTCTGGGCCTCCCTGCCTCTCTTCAATTATAAAGGCATAGACTAAGATTTCTTCACTCTGAAACTCTTTGAGGTCCCAGATACTCTGAGAATCCATGGAAAATAAATTTCTCCCCCCAAAATGCCCATGTGAAAAAACATGCCAAAGGTGTACACAATTTTAATGGGTTCACAAACCCCTCAAGCCTGTTGCTCTCCCTCAGTTAAGAGCTTCTCAGCAGGTCACCTCCAGACGCCACTGCAAGTTTAACGTGTAATGATCTAACATTCCAAAGACAACTTTTATAAAGCTACCCGGACAGTTAAGGCACCTGAGGACACGGAACTTTTATTTTTACTTCAATCACTTTACATTTCACTGTAGATTCCTTACTGGGAGATGATTTTATAGATGGCATAACTTTTTCTTTTCCTTAATAATGTTCCCCTTAGAACTCCAGAGGATGAAGGAGTCATTCTTATTCATTAGAATCTGGAGGATGGGCACAGCCCACCGATGACTGACACGTGCTTTACATCATTTCATCTTTGAAGTATTTTAAGCTGGCATTGTTTAAAAATACACAAAAAACGGATTTGCTGGAAAGTATAGAAATCAGTTACATTATTAACTTATAAAGAAAGATTCCTTCTACCAAAGAGGATCTCTAATCAACGGAAAGTCTTTCTTACCAGTTCGCGCCACTAAATACCTATTTTGCACTTTCGTGTACAAGGCTTTATGGTATTTGTGGAAGACAGAAAAGATTAAGACACTGTTTCTGCCATCGAGGGCTTGCTAAAGCTACATCATTAGGATCTGAATTACGGACACTTGGTCCGATTTGTTTTTTCAAAAATACAATAAGGAAACAAAGTGCATAGCCAAGTACAAACCGTTTACCAGCCAACTAAGTGGCAGGAAGCTAAAGGGAGTTGATGCTAAAAAAAACTCAAGGTGATGGGACAGGAAGCCCACACAGTGCAACGACCTTTCCAAAGCATGAACTCTCCTTGGTAAATGGTTAATTTTTTTAATGCCTCCCATGAGACATGAATCACTACTTCTCAGGAAAAGAGCACCCTCTTTAGAGTTCACTAATTATTAAAAAATTACTATTAACTTTAAGCCCAAATCTGTGTCTTTAGAGGTTTTACCCTTTGATCCTAGTTCTACTGGGAAACAAGATGCATTTAATGGCACAATCCCCACATCCTCTTCAAGCTAACCTAAATTTTTTTTCTTTTAACCTTTTCTCATGTTAAACAGCTTTGAGTCCTTTAACCACTTCCTCTAAGTGTGTTCCAAATACAGCCAGTTTCTCTTTCCAAATAAATCTGTTCCTTGTGAGTACCACGGGAAGGTATGGACGGCCCATACCCATCTCAAATCCCAGACAGGTAAGTCTCAATGTTATTTACAAGTTAATTAAAATTTCTAGCTTTTAGAAATTTTCTAGTTGTTAGAAGTATCAATGCTGAAATATAATCTTCAAGCACCTAATTCATGTCTGGTAATTGCTTGCATTAAAGGGAAAAGAAAGCTCTTTTTGAAAGATTGTGGTAAAATGTCAGTGTACAGTTTTAAAATCTCTTCAAATTCTCCCATGAAAACAGAGCAACTAGACAAACAAAATGAAAGATCCATGAGCAATATCCACATAAAAACTAAACGACAAGGTATCTCCATGCACCCCTAAACAAGAGTAGATGAGAACAAAGAGCTGTATGGTCTCAGTGTCTGCGTGGGAGAGAGAACCAAGGCTCCTGATGGCCCTGAGGGTGGAAGAAACACAAAATTAACAACAGTGTTCCCTGGAAACAGGATCAAAACCAGAGAGGGCTCTGTAGAATCTATTCATTAGGTGAGGACAAAAGGCCGGTCTAACAGCGCTAGGGAAGTCTGGGACCTATAAACACTCAAACACAAAAAACACATAAAAGCTAAGCTCCCTTTCAAGGTAAAGCCCTACAGTAAGGGAGTGCTAGGAGGACAAGTCACACTTAGAAGGACAGGGATAATCAAGGGCAACAGAAAGAGAAGGTCCAGATGAAACTAGAGGAGAGACGTGGATGCGGTGAGGCCATTATCTTTATCACTTTGTAACAGCAACGTGAGGAGGAGCTCTAGAACCAGAAAAGCCACCCTGGCTTAGACCTCCTTTATGAAGGTACAGGAACTCTTTATTTTAACTAATTTACTTAACTTAAAGAGCAACTGAAAAGAATCATGATAAAATCTCATCCAAGAAATTTACAAGAAAAAAGAAGAACAGAATAATATCTCTGCTGATAAGAACAACGTTCCAGAAAAACATACCAACAACATAAGACGGAAAGCATAACCTTAAACTATGCTAAAATAAATCAGAAAATAATTGGAGCTACAAATAAAAACTACCAATGAACATCACAAAAATTCAGAAATGAGATAATAAGAGGAAAGGAAGATTTTAAAAGTGAAAAAATTCAGAAAAAAAGGCATAAAAGGAAATAATCGTTTCAAGAATATTGACTAAACTAGAAATAACACCAAAGCACATAAACACAATGAATATCTTTGAAATAAAAGATAGAAAAGAGGTCAGGCACAGTGACTCATGCCTATAATCCTAGTACTTTGGGAGCCCGAGGGAGGAGGACTGCTTGATGAATAAGATACCAGCCCGGGCAAAATCAACACTCCACGATAACTTTAAATATTAGCCAGGCATGGTGGCGCATACCTGCAGTCCCAGCTCCTACAGAGGCTGAGGTAGGAGGACTGCTTGAGCCCAGGAGTTGCAATGAGTCCTGATCATGCCTCTGCACCCTAGTCTAGGCAATAAAGTGAGACCCTGTCTCAAAACAAAAACATAAAAAGAGCAAAATTTCAAAAAAAAGTCAAAAAGAAATGAAGGGTTCAAGAGAAAATGAAAGATCAAGAAGATAAGCTAAAAAGATACAAGATGCATTTAATAGGAGTCCTTTAGAAGAAAATCTAAACAATAGAAAATAGTAAAATGTGGAATACAAGAAAACTCTCCAGAGATAAAAGACAATTTGAGGAGCTGGGGGAGGGGAGGAACTTGGAAGTATGGAGTGAAAGGGTACAGGGCACATAGAGGAAAACTAACTGTTAAAGCCAGGGTGTTTCTAGCAAAACTATTGGTTTTTAAAGAAAAAAAATCCTTTGGATACTAAAACAAAGGGACAAAATCACTTAAAAAACTCATAGTGTTCTCACGCTTTTGACAGCAATGTTTTATGCCAGAAACCAAGGAGAATGTTTTAAGATAATGTAGAAGGAAAATGTGGTGACCTGCAGATTTTACATCCCCCAGACCTAACCTGTTAGGAACAAGCAGAAAGTTACAGACCATTGTTTCTATAATCCCTTCTGGAGAAATGTTCTAGAAAACTAGGTTCAGACAAGCTAAAGTGAGGGGATTAGACATTAACATACAAATCAGTGATTACCTTAGATAATTCTGAGTCAATATTAGAAGAAACAGTTACACACTCAAACACAGATCATTTCAGCCATCATAAAATGAGAGGAGGAGGAGGCTGCTGTCAGCCTTATCAACTTGCAGCAAAAGGATAGGATTTCCAAAAACATGTCAGGTGAGAGGGAGGATTTTAGCAAGAAGCAGACAGCAGCTAGTTTCAACAAAAGACAGTAAGATACACATGAACACATGGAAAGGGAGATGAGGGAGAAATTTCATTATACCATGACGTTGTTAGTATAAACCTAACCGTCAGAAGAAAAACATAAGCCTTCTTGAACACAAAAATTATGGAAAGATAAAGAGAC